GCCCTTTGCACTTTTCTTGGAAAGGTGAGACAAAGAATATTCTCATTAGAATGAAAACTTCCATGTCTAAAATATAAAGAGTATGTTTTCATTATTTAAAAACATAATAACTTACTATTCCTTACTTATCAATTATATTCATTATCCTCCCCCATCCCGCCGGTAAACAAGGCAGCACATTATAAGGATAGGTGAGCAGCACTTGGGCTGCGAAGGCTGTCTTGGGCCTGGATACATTTTCATTTTGAAGCATGTGAAGCCCAGTTTATGTAGGTCAGGTGAAATTTATTAGACTCTAAATTATCCTTCAAAATCCCCTGAAGTCATCCACAAAGGCCACAAGGTTATGTCCACACAAGGCTAGGGAACAATGGCTGTGCTCACTAGAGCTAGTGAAGTTGCAGGTGGGACAGAAGCAAAGGCTGAGTGGCTTAGCACTCGATGCATATGGCAGCAGGAGGCCTGCAGTTAGGAAGGATGCCTGTGGACTCCCTCCAGCCTTCAGGTCTAGCTTCAAAGTGCAATGAAGAGTTATGAAGAGTTATTCTTTTGCTTGGAGGTGGTTTGAGGACTGGGCCATCCACCAGATCCATAAGTCCTCTATCATTACATTCTAATTCTTCTTGGCTCCTTCACTTTATGGATTACCTGAGACTATAGGTAAACCTGTAGGACTTGATGAAAATAAAGTGCAGGACCATGTCAGAGAGAAGAGATGTTCCTTAATGAACAAGGGTTGTAGAAGGGGGAGGAGAGGGGCTGAGGAAGAGAGGTGGGATGGGAAGAGTCCATCTGTGGAGACTCATGGTCGACACAGCAGGCAGAGGCTTGGGAAGTAGACACCCATCACCCCTTCATCAACATGGTCAGAGCCACAGTAGCTACAACATTACAATTCAGCACCCCCCCTAAAAGTTGTGTTAGGTCCTGGTGTTTTATCACAGCCATGGAAACCCCAATAAAGACAACTGCCATCAGCACTCGGCCACATGTGCTATGCTTTGTCTTTGTCGGCTATGTTCACTGCCATATCACAAGGTTTCTATCCGATTGTGGACTCACAGTGCAATAGAGAGGCCCTGGGAAGCAGGACTGACTAGGCAGTACTGAGCAGTGCTGTGACATCAACATGCACTAAAAGCAATGAGCAGCACAACAAAGCCTATAGCAGCAGAGACAAGGTTCCCAGGCCACAGGAGGCACAGCCAGCATGCCTGACAGACAGGAAAGAATGTGGCATGGGGTGAGGGCAGATGGAAACAAGACAACAAAGCACTCAGGATAAGGCTGGAAGGCCTGCAGAAGAGTACAATGAGAAAAGACCTCGGGTAACATGGTAAAGAATCAAAACAAAATATTTTGTCTAATTAAATTTTGTAGAAAGGTTTTAGGCCAGAACCAATGTGAACATTTAAGGAAGATGCATCTGCCAGCTGAGTGGCAGCAAGAAAGGAGAATAAAGGCAGGGAAGCCAGCCAGGCTGCTGAGCAACCTGCACTGACTTATGGTGGTCCTTGGCAATAGGACACAGATTCTGGGATGGTCAGGAGGCTAAAGGTCAGGAAACAGACGATAAAGAGAGAGATAACAGAAAGTCTGTTGCCTGGCTTTAGAAAACAAATGAAGAAATGAAAGGAAAAGGAGAGAGATGGAGACACCATCCTGTGTCTACGGGGCACCTAACAGAGATCTCCAAAGCTTCTGGGCTCAGAACAGGGATCCACACTAGAGGAATAAACAGGGTAGATGGGACAGGAAAGAGGGAGATATGGTGTTTGGGTTAGACACTCCTCTCTATGTTTACACATCACCTAGAATTTGTCCCTGTGTAGTATTTGGCACATTCTATAAGATGCTTAAGAAGTTGGTATCCTCATTGTCCTCAGAGTCTTTGACAGTACCTACCTGTCTGGTTAGAGCATTAAACAAACAAACAAACAACAAAACCAAATCATTTTCTAGGGATCTTCCATGGAAGGGTAAATATTATTTACTGTTATAAGGAAATGAATAGCAATGTAGGAGGATTAAATGGGGAAGAAGATGAGAGGACACAGTACAGGTGGAAATATGGGGATGGATAACTAACACTACAGGCCTTTGGAAAGCCATACTGAAATAAACCGTTATAGACACTTCCTAAAATAGATACAGGTATAAATGGAATTTAAATGGACTTACCATATAGTGGGGAAGACAATGTCCCAACTAAACATTTTATACTTCCAAGTAAAACCCTCAGTACCATTAATGTGTTATATCTTTTTGAATTTTTGGCCAAAGGAGTCCCAATAGAGCCAATGCTATTGGTTATCCTCTACATCCTGAGGGTATGACCCCAATGCTGAAGACACCACTTACTTACGGCATAGAACATGAAGAAACCTAGCTGGTACTCAACTGGATGCTTCACCTCTCCTTACTAACATTGTTCTTAGTGCTGGAAGGTACTATACATGCTACTGGAGGAGGAAAGCAATCATCAATCTTACCCAGTGATGAACCCTGAGAGCTACAACAGGGGCCTGCATGCATGATATTGGTACAACAGTGGCACAAACATTATGGGAACAACCACAACAACTTTTTTGATTGGATTTGAGGTTCACTGTATAAGTGAACTCATATCTGACACTGATAATGAGGCCAAGAACCTGAGACTAGGTAGGTAGTGGGACCTAGGGGAATACTTACTATAATTATTCTGCTAAATGGATATAACAATACAACAAGCTTCAGGATGAATAAGTCAATAAATGTTCTAGAATGTAGAAGAGGATTAGTCATGATTTACCTGATCTGTCCACGAACCAGAGGCCTGTTTTTTGTTCTATTCATGTTCGAGTCAAATGGCACCTCAAAAAACTAAAAAGAAAAAAAAAACAAAAAAACTTCAGAAAGTATTAGACATCATTTTAAAAAATTCTGCTTTTGTATTGAAGCTTTTCCACAGTAAAGTGTGGCCTCTTTACTTCTTTTTTGGTGGTAGTGATGTTGCTAGAGATAAGACCTGAGACATCCCAACCCCTTTTCTCATTTCAATTTTGATAACATGAATTAATACTTCGTCATTTCTTAGAGAAAAATTCTCTGAGAGAGATGAATTTTTTAAAAATGTACTGTCAAGAATATGTATTTTCATTCTCTTTGAAAACTTTGCTAAATACACAGTTACAATCATTAAAGCCATTGTTCTAGGTTTAAAGCAGCAGAGTCCTTCATACAGCCCAGAGCCTGTGAATCAGTACTAGGCTGAGATCAGGAGGAAACTAAGTGCCCAGGGAAAGACACAGGTGAGGCTATGATTTTAGACCTCTTGTTCTCCCGGCACAGGTTGGATTTCCTGTGTTACATACAATAAGGCCATGATCATAAAGCTTGCAGCACCCCAACCTAGAAAACACATTCAATAGCCTCCTAACAGTTTTTGCTGTTTACCTGTCAAAGGCAATGCCTAAGAAATTGTTAAGACTCATTTTCCAAAGCCTTGATAAACTGTATAAATAGGTTGCATAATTTGTTATCAGTCCCAACTTGTCAACTTTGGGGTGTAACAATAATCCAAAATCTGGACAGGTTATTTGAGAAAAACTTTGACTAAATGGGCTGGAGGCAAATCAACAGAAGAAACAGTAACTCAATAGAAGTTAGTCTATCTCCAGCCATGTTCCCTAATAACCCTGGGAGCTGCTCCCACAATGACTTAATGGTCAAATCATATTAGTGTGATAAGGACTCTGAAAATACTAACATGAATAAATCTAATTAATGCCGCTTACTCAGTGTTTCCAAAACTTATTTGAGCATGAAATCTTTTTTTTTTTCCTCAAGAAAAACATGTTTAACACATTTCAGAAATGTCTGGTCTGAGTCTACTTCAGTGATAGGAATCACTTGAACATGTGTGCAAACTGTAGCTCCAAATTCGGGGCTCTGCACTCTGAGCCCTCTACAGATTAGAGGACAACACTGCTGCTGAGAGCAGTGTTGGAAGGCCTGGGGCACTTATACAGCCACCTGATGTCACCTATTAACAGGCATGCGTGTCTTAGTACACTTTCTATTGCTGTGATCAAACACCACGACCAGCAACTTGGGAAGGAAAGGGTTTATTTTGGCTTAAAACTCTCAGATCACACTTCATTATGGAGAGAAAGGAAGCCAAAGCAGGAGCTCAAGGCTGGAACCTGGGTGCAGGAACTGAGGCAGAGACCATGGAGGGATGCTGCTTACTGGCTTGCCCAATCTGCTTTCTTAAAGTACTCAGGACCACCAGCCCAGGGGTGACTCTATCTACAGTACACTGGGCCCTCCCACATCAATCATCAAAATGCCTTTATAGACTTGCTTACAGGCAATCTGATGGGATCATTTCTCCACTGAGGTTCCCATTCCCAGATAACACTAGTTTGTGTTAAGTTGACAAAAAAACACCAACGACAAATGACCACTTGTCACCTTGACACACTAATATCTTTCCTTTCTTTGTTTATATCCAAGATCTCATACTAATATCAACATTACAATATAAAACATATCCCAACTTTTGAAAGTCCCATCGTCTTTAAAAATTCACTTTAAAAGTTCAGCTTAGTAAATACCTCTTTAAAAATCCAAAGTCTCTCAAGTCCTGTAAACTCAAAACTAAGTTACACAATTCTTACTCTAAGAAGGAAGAACTAGGACATGGTTATAAACAAATCAAATGAAAACCAAACTCCAACAGTGTAAATTAAATCCTGCAGCTCAATGTCTTGCATCTGGGATTCACTCATAAGGTTCTGGGCTCCAAAGGTTTGGGCAGCTCACCCTCCTCAGGCTCTGCCAGCCTTAGCACACAAAGCTTGTCTCATTGGCTCAGGCCAGCTCCACACCATACCTGCCACTGCCCTTGGCAGTCCTCCCATAGTTCAGTTGTCTGCAATATGCCAGGGTCTCCACAGGCTGCACCTGCATCAGTAACCTTTCCTGGGCATGCTTCATGGACTCTGACCCTGCTACAATTGTTTATTGTCAAGCTTCAATTTCTCTCCATGACCACTTCAATCCTAGTGTTTCCACCGCAACTCAGTCTGCATCTTTAGTGATAGACTCTCCTGGCCTCTCACAGTGCCAAGTCTCAGAGACTTTCCACGACCCCTTCTTGTCTTTAAAAATTACTACCTGGTAGATCAAGTTTATCTGCCAGTATGAGACAAAACCTTGGCCCTCTTTGTCATAGCTTCTGTGTCCTGAACTTGAGAAAATAACACAGAAGATTTTACCTCAGTGATGCTTGTCTCTTGTAATCAAAGCTATTTTTCAGTGAAGCTAATCACCATCTATTGTCCCAGTAAAGCAAAGGTTTCATTGTCACAAACTCTTAGTCAACAATCTCACCAAAGAGCCTTGATAGTCTTTTGCTTCCTGTGAAATATCACATCAGTATTCAGATCTTCTGAGTTCCCATAACAGCTCATTAAGCTCTGAGCACTCAATGGCCTTTCCAGCCCAAAGGTCAAACACTTCCTCTGTCCTCCCAAAGTTCCATGGTCAGGTCTATTACAGCAACACTCTATTTCTGTTACCAATTTCTGTCTCAGTTTGCTTTCTATTGCTGAGATCAAACACAACTTGCCAAAAACAACTTGTGGAGGAGAGGGTTTATTTCATTTTACAGCTCTTGGTTCATACTCCATCACCGAGGGAAGTTGAGGCAGGAACTCAAGTCAGCAACCTGGAGGCAGGAAATGAAGTACAGACCATAGAGGAACACTAATTCCTGGCTTGCTCCACTGGCTCTTGCTAAGCTTTCTTTCTTATAACACCCAGGAGTACTGCTCAGAAAGGGGACCATTTCCAATGGTGGAGCCCTCTCGCATCAATAATTAGTCAAGAAAGTGCTCTACAGACTTGCCTATAGATTGGGGGCATTTTCTCAACAGAGGGTCATCTTTGAGATAACGCTAGCTTTTGTTAAGATGACAAAAACCAACCAGGTCACATATTAAGAATCAAGTAAGGGCCAGGTGGTGGTGATGGTGTAAGCCTTTAATCCCAGCACTTGGGAGGCAGAGGCAGGTGGATCTCTATGAGTTCAGGGCCAGGGCTAGTCTAAAGAGTTTCAGGACAGCCAAAGCTACACAGAGAAACCCTGAATCAAAAAAACAAAAACAAAAAAACAAACAACAAAACAAACACAAAACAAATAAAAACCAAACAACAACAAAAAACATGCAGAATTGTATTCTGAGGTATTTAGGAAATCTAGAAAGTTCCCAAGTCTTTAAAAATTCAAATGTTTTAAAAGTTCAGTCTCTTTAAATTATCTAACATCTCTTTAAAAATCCAAAGTCTCTCAACTGTTGGTTCCTGGCTTGCTTCTCACATCTTACTGTAAGTTTTGCAGTATCAAGAAGTCAAAAGGCGGGGCTGGAGAGATGGCTCAGAGGTTAAGAGCACTGGACTGCTCTTCCAGAGGTCCTGAGTTCAATTCCCAGCAACCACATGGTGGCTTACAACCATCTATCATGAGATCTTGTGCCCTCTTCTGGTGTGCAGGCAAATATGCAGACAAAAGTCTATATATGTAATAAAAATAAGTAAATTAAAAAAAAAAGAAATCAAAAGGCTTGAAGAAAATGGTTAGCATCCAAAAGACAAATAATGTTTCCCTTCCTTTGGTGGAGACAGTAATGCCTTGTGTGGTGAAGATAAGAGCATAAATGACATTTTGCTATGTTCTACTTGCATCTGAGTGTCATGCTCAGAGGGATGGACTATGATGGCTCCCTTTCGTGTCAGTTTACCTATACTGGAACTACATTGCTCAAAGTCTCTTCCTGCAGAGCTGTAGGTTAGAGACTGACACAGGACCTGAGTGACATTTAGAAGCAGTTGATTCTTGGAAAGCTGGTATGGTGTCGGGTGCTATTTGTAGCTCACACTCAGTTGCAGATCTGGTGGCCAAACTGCTGGCTTTCAGCTTCCAGCAGCACCAGGCCTGCAGCTTCTCCAGCTCCTGCCAGATCTCCTCAGGCTGCAGCTGGTTCCTGAGTTCTTCCAGCTTCTGAAGACTCTGGGACAAGCTTGTGTGATGCTCTCTAGAAAAATGTACCAGCTCTTCTGCAGGTCACCTGGAGCATCGATAGCAGCTGCTTGCAGGAGTTCAGATGGTCTAGTTTGACCTCAGTTGTCACTAGGTTCCAGACTCCATGCTGCTCCTCCGCTCCTCTGCTTTGCTGATCATGGCTTTGCTTACAGATCAGCACCATATACAAGCAAAATGGCCCTACACGATCTGATCGACACCCAGATTGCAGAAGAGCTGATTCCTCCATATCCCTTACATTACTCACAGTGGGTCTCATATTCTGATCAAATTATCATTGACATGGGTGTCTGCCCTTATTTTCAACATGGTTACTATTTAAATGCGCTTGACTTGGAACTGAAGAGGTGATTTCATGGTTAAGTGCAAGGACCAGTCTTGCAGAGGACCCAAGTTCAAGTCTTGATCACCTATATCAGATGGCTCGCAACTACCTATAACCTGGCTCTATGGGGCTGATGCTTTGGATCTCTATTGGTATTGAACATAGCCATGCACATACATGTAATTACAAATTGTTTTAAGGAGTCTTTGACTTTTCATTACTTATTAATCCAAGTGGCAGACTTCTTGAGATGTAAATATAAAATTTAAATGTTAAAGAGAAACAGTGTAATACTATGCAAATGAGTGCTCAATGAACATTCAATGAGCCATCAGTGCAAACAATGCTTATACACATGTTATATTCAGTAAAATGTGATGGATAATTTGTAGCATTAACAATGCTTTGCCCATCAGAATATTCTATACAGAAGTAGCTGAATGTGGTAAT